GTGAAACTCACTTTTTCTTTTTTTCAATTTGAAGCATCAAATTGATTGATACATTAAGCACACAAAATATTTTTTGAGAGTTCCATTTGGCATCCATAGTGGGTTACTCTGCTATCATAAAAATAAAAAACAACAACTACTGAAAACTGCTTTTGTCACAATTATTACCAAATTTGTGTCAGTTTTTTGGGTCTGCCATAATAAGTGAAAACTCTGAAGATACAGTGTCTTGACTATTTTATTGAAAGCAATTACTCTCCAAGAGTTTCTCTGCTAGGAGTGTTTAAGGTAAGCCATGTAGTAAAAAGGTGATCAGTGCTGAACTTATTGAGTTACTGCCGGAATAAAAAAAAAAACTCTATTGAACTTAAAACAATTCTGGCACCTAATTTTGCAACAATAGTTACCCTCATCCATAATTCACAGAGAATAAGATAAGTATAGAATGATAAAGACTTAGCAACAATACATGCCTCCGTGCATAAACTTGAAGAAGTGAAAGCTCGTAGGCAAACCATTGGCCATAAAATGTATTCGAACAACCAAAAGCGGCACACTGCTTTCCTTTCTTTTTGGAAGAAAAATTAGCTTTATCGAGATTTCGGCTAGGACCATTCATTTTTCTTAAAAACCGAACAATTTTACTGCCCACTTACGAATTTCACCAAAAGCGCTCACCCTAGACTCGTTCTCACGTGTGTGCGGTTGCATGTCCAATATGGCGCTGGGAACTGTAAAAAGGTCTATTTGACCGGAGCGAGGACACAAATCCTTTACAGTTATCAAAAGCGACGTAAAAGAAATTTAAATTTAACCCCTTGTCAAATGGCTCATGTTTATCTCTTGACTTGATTTCTCCACAAATATAATCATTTCGAGCTTGACGAGAAGTTATGAATATTTTAAAGCTGTATGTTTACAAGGGTATTGACAGGGAGCTTTACTTTCTTGTTCACAAAGAGACTTGGGAGAAAGTTTTCATTTCTTGTTCACAAAACGGTGGGCAACACATCGGTTTCACTATTTCAATGTCGCTATTTAAAAAATAATAGTGTATTGCTGAGCTTGAAAACATTTGCGTTTTTGTCCTTGGCAAGTCTCCAACTTATTAGAGAATGAACATGATGTAAAACAAGAGTCGTCCATATGGTTAGCTTTTATTCTACGTCGTTAGATACACGGTAATTTTCATATTTCAATGGAGGGAAAATAAATCTAGTTCAAATCTATTATTCTAAAACAGAAGTCAGAGGAGACGACCATTAGCTCTCGAGTACTTTTGATCAAAAACTTCATCCTGTGACAGTTCAAAGTAACTTGCAACTGACATAACTCACTTTAAATAAGCATGACTAGCAACAAACACAGACAACCATGTATCAATTAAAATAAATGCAGTCGGACATTACCTTGTTCAGTGGGAGGAGAATCCGTCCTCGCTTGTGTCATTTTATCTTGAGGCATGAATTCCTCCACAGTTTTCAACCTTCGTTCATACTCATTGAACTTAGTCTCGTTTCGAATGAATTCAGCGGAGTAAAGAAGCAAACAGAAAACGCTCAGAACTGTGCCGGGGCTCACCGGGAAGGAACGGTCTTTAAGAGACATCGTGAGAGCTGAATGATCGAACCTTCACGTAAACAGCTTTCGCAGCATGTTGCAGTAACCTTACACTGCCTAAATTTAATACTAGGTTTAGGTCAGAAGGCTACAGACCTTAATGTGATAGCTAGCTTCTTTTGTCCCAATACATTCCTCTTAGGTTAAAGAATCCTAAATTAGCAAATAAACGATATATTGTGCGAAATCAAATTTTCTACGAATTTTTTTTTGACGGTTAATCGACGGCCATTTTGAAAACGTTCGGATCCAAGTAACGTGATGTGATACATCACACGTGTGTAAGGCAGTGAAAAGCGTCATGTCAAGACCTGAAAATAACACGTCGCCCTCGCTATCGAAAGGCGATGGATCGCCTGTTTGTATTCGGAGCCACAGGTTATTTGCACGCCATTCCAAACAGCTGTAAAAAACATATATATTCCCATAATTATTTCCTCTAAACCATTATCGAGCCCTACACTTAAAGAAATATTTTAGTCCAAGCCGAAAAGCATTTGACTTTAGATTTTGTCCGGTGTATATCACTGTGACCTCAGGTCCATCGGTTCTGGAGTGAGCGTGACAAAGAGCAAAGTGTTGTCGCGTGCTATGGAAGGTCGTCATCTGGTTTCGTGAAGGAAACTTTTCTTCCACGTTCCGGAAATGGACAAGATTTATCCTTTTTTTTAAAATTTTTTTGTTTTAACGGAGACTAATGAGCAGCACAAAGGAAGACTTCTTGCCTATGTAACTTTTTGATTATTTCTTTCGATGTGTTTCGTCTCCAGCTGAGAGTTCTCCAGGAATGATTACAAGTAACATTGACCAGCATATATAGCACAATCGTGTGCCTTAGTTTAGTTAACTTCCGGTGGACGTGAATAATAACAGAAACATGCTGTAAACGGATATTAAAAGAAACGCCTTGTTGTGTCTCATTTGCAACCGGAAGCATGATAATTAAATCAATCCTGTCCGAAAGGTTACTCGTTTCAAAAATGTATCACTGTCAGCTGAGTGAACAGTAAATTACTCACGCTCGTTCATCGTAAATAAAACAAGCCGACAGCCTGAGAGAAGAAACCATTAAAGCACAAATCGTGGTATTGCCTTGCACCCAAAGTTTAAAACGCAGTGCTTTCGTTAAAAAAAGGAACCGAGTTAACGACAAACTCGTGCTTCGGAAATAACAAGCACGTAATGAAATTAAAAGATCCTCGCAGCTAAGAACACTACTGAAACTAGTAGTTGTAAATAGGACCTGAAAAAAATTCAGGCCCGTACGGGATTTGAACCCATGACCTCCGCGATACCGGTGCAGCGCTCTACCAATTGAGCTAACAAGCCAACTGGGAGCTGGTCAATGAATTGGGTATAAATAAACATCCAAGTGAATGAAGAATTTAGATATATGAAAATTCACATATTTGCACTACGGTGGAGAGATGAAATTAAAAGATCCTCGCAGCTAAGAACACTACTGAAACTAGTAGTTGTAAACTAAGTTGTAAGCACGTAATGTTTCTCAAATTACGACCTAAAAAAAAAAAAAAAATATATATATATATATATATATATATATGTGTTCAAGCTCAAGTTATTCAAAACTGTACCACTCCTAGTCGTATTGACATTACAGTATAGACAGAAAACAACAGGATTTAGAGAAAAGAAAACGAAAACCAGGGAGGCGCTGTGCAGTGATGTTTTGTAACGAAACAAGTGCAGAGGTCGGAGTCAGCCTTCATCAGTTTCCTCAAACCCTGGGTGCTGGACTATAAATCTGGCTTCTGCCTGCAACTATTCCTCTGTAACATCCTCCAAATTTTTATTTTTGACCACATCTACTTTTTGGCAAAAGATGCTTTCTTTCTCTTTTCACATTAATTGAAAGTTTCCACACTGACACCTTATAATTACAAAAAAAAAAAAAAAAAAAATCAGTAAAGAAGCCATTTTTTGTACACACGTGTGACGTGTGTACTTAATGATGAAAATCGAAGCGTTTACCGCGGATGACTCACGAAACTTCATTTAGGACATTTTTCCCGGCGAAAAAAGACACAAAGAGGCATACGAAGCACCTTGTATCTGGTTCAATGTGTTACCCGAGACATTTAGACGGTATTCCGAAAAAGTGACCTTTCAGCTGTCAGTCACCCATTAATGATCTGCTTTTGAAAAGTAATTGATTTGATTGAAGGCGAGTCGATCAATTTAATATTGAGACAGACTGTATGAACAAGATTCCTAACCTGATGGATTCTCCAGAACAGTTCGCTAATGTATCACATTCAGCATTCATTTTCCGTGAAGCTTTTTTGACAGTTTCTTGATCCTCATGATATCAACCTACCTGGGTCAAGAGCGTTGTGTGACTCAGTAACGAAATTTCATCTAGAAATACAACGTCCTTTATGGTCTGGATCGGGTTTAAACCAAGACTTTTCCTTCTAGAAGAAATAGGCTTAACGTATAGCAGTTGCCTCTTAATCACTTAGTCCCTAGTCGCCAACTTTGTCAAAACTATATTGTAATCTTGTGGTTTGCCGATGGAGTCGAGAATTTGTTGTAACAAAAATTAAGGTTAATGTTTATCAATACGTTTTGTGAGAAGCACACTTTTGAACCCGTAATAAGGAAGAAAAGGGAGTGAATTTGGCTTTCTTAGCAAGGGAAAAAGCTACACAACATAAGGGCTACCCATGAGATGGAAACGACTGTGGACCCTTTTCTTCTGCTAGCTAGGAAATGAAAAACCTACCTTGCAGGGGCAGGTGAGAAGTAGGGGCGGCGTTGTCAGAATATCAATGAGCGTCGATCAAGTTTTGTATCGATGATCAAACTTGACGGTTGTTTTCCTTTGAAGCCGTGGAGTTTTGATCGTAATTTGGAAAAGAAAGGTGTAATAACAGAAAAATATCACAGAAGTTGAAAACTGTTGTTTATTTCAACTTAATTCTTTTTTAATTAAATAAGATTACACCCGTGTCTCTCTAACAGTTCAAATAAAGTATATGTGATTCGATAAATCTTTCATTCTATAAATCAGATAACAGAGAGGTATCAAGACCTCTTTGGTTGATTCAGCTATTAATATCTGCGGGTGTTTGAAAAACCCTAAATGGACACGAACCTTTTTTATCCTAAAAAGGCGAATCTATCGTGTGAAGAGTCAGGCTATCATCAGTAAATCGCTTCCCTTCGACAGCTTTACTGCTTTTCTTTATCATGTAACGACGTTAAATAGTCGCCCATGGCTATTAATATATGTGGCATAGTGAGCTGTTATAGGTCAGTTTTAGTGTGCTCCTATTGGTTCATTCATGTTTGACAAGTTGATGTTATTCTCCTACTTTGTTTTTGGATGAGTACTTTGCTTTCAAGTTGCAGGTATCCATGCCTCAGGAATGTCCATTTCACTGTATTTTTTTAAAATTTTGTTTGTATAAAACATTAATCGGAAAAGAAAACTCACAGCGATAGCAGCTAACCTTTAATGCTAAAGGAACAAGCGACAGTGAACGTACACATCTTCCAGTAGAGATCTGGTGAATTTTCCATTTTAAATTCATTCTGCATAACTGTTTTATTGTGCTACAGCGAAATGGGTGTAGTTAGGGGCGGATCTGAGGGAAGGGTGCAGGAGTGCACACCCAATTGCCCTAAGATAACCTGCGGCTTTCCTATATAACCAGTATTGTACAAAAAAAATTGAATGAAAAATAGAACTGTGTGAATTATTTGCGTTGAAGTAAAACATGAGACAAAGTAAATGAATTTATGTTGAATGCGGTAAAAATGGTGGGTTGGCACTAACTTTTCGAGCATTAGACCTTCTCTTCGTCTGAGGATACGTCAGTTAGGTGCTTCCTTGGTGGTGCACCCACTCCTACAAAAAAATCCTAAATCGCCACCGGGAATGAATGGTTTGTTAATAAGTTTATTAGGTTACTGGCTAATGTTTATTTTCTTACTGTAAACGCTGTGGTATACTTTTATCCTATAATTCTTGTGTTGATGAATGACTACACACATACTAATCCTTTGACCTATTACTTAAGCTCAAATATTTCAACCCTCAAACATGACCAATGAATGTATGTTACGGGATAAAACCGAACGTATCTGGCTTTGAAGTGATTTCTAAGTGAATGTTTCACGATACTGGTCTGATCTGAATTTCCTGTGAACACCTGGAAAAAAGCAAACCGAAAAAAAACGAAAAAAACAAATTGAAAAACTTTGTACGGTGTACCAATTCTATATACAGTTAAGAAAGGAGGTGACGGAGGAGGGGGAGGGGAGGTGCGGGGGGCATTTGAACAGGTCTTAAGAGGTCACATCTTTCACGTAACTTTATTTTCTATTGCATTGCAGTCCGGCCTTTTCAAACCGAGTTCATTTTTCCGTCACTTCTTTAACCTTAGTTTATTTTTTTATGGACTGTTTATTACTCATCCCCCAATAGCAAGAAGTAGACGGTCAAGGTGAAACGATTTTTTTCCTTTATCCAGCTTGAAGAATCAGTTGTTGAGTCTTTTTCCGGAAAAATAATGTTGCTAATATTTAAGCTATTGTTTGCAGCATGCACTTATTATGTCACCATCTTGATTTGCGAAAGCAAAACACAAAACAAGGCAAAAAAAACAAAAACAAGAGAAAACCAAATGAATTAATGACAAAGACAAGGTTAGGGACAGAAAGAGAGACGGAAAGGAGACTTCCTGTCTCACGAAATCCGGAAAACAATGTCAAGAGAAATATTTTAATTAATACATCCTGGATGGAAAAGTCGTAGCAGTACAGTGCTCGACTGATTTTTAAATATCTTCGACCTCACGCAACACAATAGCTAATGAAGATAAGAGTCCAAATTCACCATCTAAAATTAATTTCTGTTTGCTTATTTTTTGTATTGACTTCAAATTCTTTGTCAATTGCTGGAAATGTCAGTCTCAGTAATCCTTGCGTGGCCACACCACAAACAGAACGCACTTCGCCCA